CTTTTTTTACTCTTTGAAAGGAAGTCACTATTCGAAGCGCATACTTAAGAAGTGAGGAATTAGGTTCCACCTCCTGAGGTTCCAGTATCTACATAAATTATTTGGAACTTTTCTTCACAGATTTGTCTATTCTCCTCTACTTATTTATTTATTCATTTATGTGTATCAATATGGACTCATGGGTGTACTTTGAGTTATAATTTAATATTAATTTATTTTGTTGCTCAAGTTGTCTAAGCTTTGGCTATTGGGAATCTTTTAGTTGGCTCCCGTGGCCCTTTGACGTATCCTCATCATTGTGGATTTTTTTCTTTTAGTACTTTCCTATTTTCTTGTCTTGCATATATCTCGCCCCAGTCCTAGAATGAGTGTTTTATGTGTTTATTTTATTTTATTTTATTGAACTGTATTCTGTGATACTATTTGTTTGGTTTTGTTTGTAATTCTGAATTAGCATGAGATATTTGTAACATGATTATATTTTTATCAAAATATCTCAAGAATGGTCTGTTGGCTTTGTGACTGTCCAGTTATCCTGAATGTTTTGTTTTTTGATTAACGATATAACTGTTTTTAGTTGGAACCAAGATTCCTATCAGGTGACTAAAGTGACACCTCATTATTTACCTGGCATTTATTTTATTTTTAGGAAATGAACTAGTTTTACACAAGTGAAGTTTTTAGGTGCCTAAAACGTAAACTTTTTATGTATCCATTCTTCCTTTAAGGAACATATTTAAGCACCTACCATGTGCTAGGCATAGTGCTGGGTGCTCAAGGTAGATACAACTGTTTCTTGAGTAGACCATAGTTTAGTGGGACATGGTTATACTTCAGCATGGTAGGTGCTGTAATAAAGGTTAGCTCAAGATGAAGAGATCCAGGACAATCTGTTGACATTTTAAAGGTTGAATCTTAATTAGCCAGATTAAATGGGGGAGAATGACAGAAGGAGAATGACAGAAGCAGGGAGGTTAAGGGAAATGGGCAAGAATGTTTTCACAAAATGAAAGAGCATGGCATTTTCAAAGTACCACAAGGAGCTCAATGTGACTGGCACATAAAGTGGAGGCAGTGGTGAGAGTTGAGCAGTAAGCCTAAAATCCACCATGAAGGGCCTCATATGCCTTATTTATATGCTAACATTCTGGGGGGGGGGAGGCCACTGTTAGAGAGTTTTTAGGCAGAGGAGCAATCACTTTGATGATAATGTCGACAATGAATTAGAGTAGCCAGGAAACTAGGTGAGGAATCCATTTCAATAATCTAAACTGGAGATGAGGACAGTGGTAACAGAGATGGAGTAGATTGATTGGTGAGATATAATGGAAGTATGGATGTGAGGTTAAAAGTTGGCGGAAGTGATGTCTAAAACAGACGTCATCTACATGTACCTGGTAATATAAGCATGGGAAAAACAGCTACAATGAAAACCACAATTTATGTTTCTTACTTAACAAAGGTCTGTGAGTCTACTTTCCAAGTATCTTGAAAACAGTACTGTAGGTTAATGGTCTAGTACTTGATCACTGATAAAGGAATAGTACATGTGAGGATTAAGTACTGAATAGCTCCAGTATATCACACTCTGAAGCTCTCAAAAATAGAAGCAAATAAACTGAAAAGAAACCAACACTAGATGTATAGAAATTTATCTAGAAATGTTTCCTCTGGCACAATCCTTACAGCTCTTGTACCACAGCCAACTTTAGCTGTCATGCCAGTGCCTTCAAAATCTTTTCCATTTCCTGGCAAAGCTTAGCCATTAGTGTCTGTTATCTCAGGTAGAAATCATAGTGACACAATACATTTACACAGTGTGTTAGTTTCACCCACTCCTCCCACTGTGCAAACAGCTCCATTCATGTAAGTCTGGCAGTTTAAAAACCACAAGTATTTTTGGCCTGCTTGCATGTCATTGTACACAAACATTTTGGCATACTATGTGTCACTATAACATTAGTTGGGGTTACTCTCTATATCAATAAATGATGCATGTGCCCCCAAAAGTGACTAGAACATAACCTAGTCTTTATTTGAATCTGGCCAGTGTTGTCATGAAATATCTCAGGTTTCCTTAAAGCCACTGTCAAGTGATAGCAACTCATATTTGCAGATGAGAAAATTGAAAGTGAGTTTGATGTATCACCTCAAGCCTTCTTGTCTAATAATATCTTCCCTATATATGCTGTTTCCAAAATAATATGGTTCAAAATAAAACAAGCATATTAAAATGTCAGATAACAAGTTTACATAATCCCTTAGTCATAAAGGCAGTTCCAGAAGGAGGTAGAAGGCATACAAAACAGGATATTATAATTCTTGTAAAAAAAAAAACATAAAGGACTGGAAAACAATCCAAAATGCTCTAGGCAATAACAGCCTTTACTTATTGGAGTATGTCCAGTAAGATAGTAATCGTTAGGTTTCTTAATATTCACTGAAATACAAAACAAAATACTAGTAAACACAGTTTATACCTTGGCTTGATAAGTGCCCCCAAAAAACAGGATTATTCTATAGTTGTTTATTATAGATTCATTCTAGAAGTGATCCGAAAAAAACTCCTGAATAAACAGTACAAGTGGTTCTCTAGCTTTTTCAAAAATTAAATTTATTGGGGTGATATTGGTTAATAAAATTATATAGGGTTCAAGTGTACATCATCTGTACATTGCATGTGTTTACCACGCAATCTTAATTCTCCTTCCGTCACCATATCTTTGACCCTCTTTGCCACTTCCCCACCCCCTTCCTTGTGGTAATCACCATACTGTTGTTTGTGTCTGTGCGCGTTTATGTTTTTCTTTGTTCATTTATTTTTTTCAGTTTTATATCCCACATATGAGTGAAATCATAAGTTCTTGACTTTTTCTGTCTCACTTAATATACTTAGCAAGATATTCTCAACATCCATCTTTGTCACAAATGGCAGTATTTCATCTTTTCTTATGGCTGAGTAGTATTCCATTGTATATACATACTGTAACTTATCCAATCAACCATTGAAGAACACTTTCATTGCTTCCATGTCTTGGCCATTATGAATAATGCTGCAGTGAACATAGGGGTGCATATATCTTTGCAAATAAAAATTTTCAAATTTTGGGGGTTGATGGCTCAGGCTGAGTAGCTCATTTGGTTAGAGCATCGTCCTGATATGCCAAGGTTTCAGGTTCGATCCCTGGTCAGGGCACATACAGAAAGAAACCAATGAGTGAACAACTAAATGGAACAACAAATCAATGTTTCTCTCTCTCTCTCTCTCTCTCTCTCTCTCTCTCTCTCTCTCTCTCATCTATAAATAGAAAAAAAAATTTAATTTAGGAGGTTGATAACCAGGGAAGGGGTTACTAGGTTATATGATAACTCTATTCTTACTTTTTGGAGGAACCTCCGTACTGTTTTCCATAGTGGTTGTACCCACCAGTAGTGAATGAGGGTTCCTTTTTCTCCACAACCTCTTCAACACTTGTTATTACTTGTCTTGTCGATAATAGCCATTCTAATTGGTATGAGGTGGTACCTCATTGTAATTTTGATTTGCATTTCCCTAATAGCTAGGGAAGTTGAGCATCTTTTCATATATCTCATGGCTATTTGTATGTCTTATTGGAAAAAGTGTCTGTTCAGGTCCTCTACCCATTTTTCAATTGGGCGGGCTGTTGAGGTTCTTTTGCTGTGCAGAAGTCTTTTAGTTTGATAGAGTGCCATTCATTTATTTTTGCTTTTCCATCCCTTGCCTTTGAGGTTAAATTCATAAAATCCTCCTTAAGACCAAGATCCATAAGTTTACTTCCTATGTTTTCTTCTATGCAATTAATTGTTTTAGGTCTTATATTTAGGTCTTTGACCCATTTTGAGTTACTTTTTGTGTATGGTGATAAACAGCAGTCTAGTTTTATTCTTTTACATGTGGTTTTCCAATTTACCCAGCATCATTTATTGAAGAGGCTTTCTTTTCTCTTTTGTATGTTTTTGGCTCCTTTGTCAAAATATTTTTTTTGCCCATAAACATGTGTGTTTATTTCTGGGCTCTCAATTCTGTTCCATTAATCTGTGTGTGTTTCATGCCAGTGCCATGCTGTTTTGATTGTGATTGCTCTGTAGTATAATTTGAAATCAAGTTCACTACTTCTAGCTTCTTTTTTCTCAGGATTCATTTGCTATTTGGGGTCTTTTGTGGTTCTATAAAAATCTGATGATTTCTTCTATTTCTTTAAAAAATGCCATTGGGGTTTTTATGGGGATTGCATTAAATCTGTATATTGCTTTGGTAATATGGCCATTTTAACTATGTTGATTCTTCCAATCCATAAACATGGAATATCTTTCTATATCTTTATGTCTTACAGTTTTCAGTGTATAGGTTCATCTCATCCTTTGTTAAATTTATTCCTAAGTATTTTATTCTTTTGCAAAAGGAATTGTGCTTTTTGTTTTTGTTTTCATTTTTTTCTGAAATTTCATTGTTAGAATATAGGAATGCAGTCAATTTTTATACATTGATTTTGTAATTTGCAACTTTAGTATATTTATTTACTGTTTCTAATAGGTTTTTGGTGGAGTTTTTAGGGGTTTCTATATAAAGAATTATGTTGTCTGCAAAAAGTGACAATTTTATTTCTTCATTGCCAAAAAATATAAAAAGGACATAATTGGAACATTTGCCATGATTGGGATATGAATAGTAGATTAGAAAAAGTATTGTATTGATGTTAAATTTCCTAAATTTGGTAATTATACTATGATTATGTTAGAGAATACCTTTGTTCTTAGGAAATACACAGTGAAGTTTTAAGGAGTAAAGGAGCATGATGCCTGTAACTTATTCTCAAATGGTTCAAGAAAATAATTGTGTGTGTGTGTACTACATCATTAAGAGTTGGTGAGTTTGCATAAAGGCTACAAAGGAGTCCTCTATTCAAGTCTTGCAAATTTTTTGTAAATTTGAAATTACTTTAAAATAAAAATTTTAAATTCTGTTCAATGTTTTCTAGCCCTTTCAAAGGCACAAAATGACATAATGGCAATGAAGATACAAGCAGAGAGTCTTTCAAAAGAATATGACCGGCTCCTAAAAGAACACTCAGAACTTCAGGTGGGTGACATTCATGTTACAGGCTTAAATTTTTTGAAAGTGTAATTAATTAAGTCAACTATTTGTGTTATTTGCCCTTCCCAAATCAAGAGGTTGTACTTAATCCCGTTTTTATTGTGTAATTAAGGAACCCAGAATTTACCTAGAGCAGTGGTCGGCAAACTGCGGTTGATTAAGATATTACATATGTGGCCCCTTGAGTGTGGCTCTTCCACAAAATACCGACTTCTGCGCATGGGCCACGAAGTTTCAATAGCACTGTACATGCGCACCCGCACGTGGTATTTTGTGGAAGAGCCACACTCAAGGGGCCAAAGAGCCTCATGTGGCTCAAGAGCCGCAGTTTGCCGACCACTGACCTAGAGGGTGAAGATTAGGACATTGCATGAAAATACAAGATAATCATATTCACCTTCCAAATCCTACTTGAGAATCAAAAGATTGCTGTAGACCATGGACAGTAAAAAGCTATATCTAATTGTCCTTTATGGATTTCACTTCTGTTGTCAAACCAACCTTAAAAGTTGCATTGTATCCTCAAGTTCTTTGGGAAACTTAAGTTTCTCAATTTTACATAGTTGATTTACTTTAAATAGAATAATCAGAAAATAAGGGACTATAAAATATCAAGGAAACAAAGGTGGGAGAGGGGAAAGCTGATTTCCTTACCATAAACAAATCCCACTTTGCAGCTTTTAAACCCATTCGGATTTTCCCTTCTGGTCCCCTTCCTGTTGCAGTTACTAAATAAATATTAGAAAACAGTCCCTTCAAAATATGTAGTCTTTGCCTTTCCTTGTTTGCACTTGTGCTCTTCTAGAAAAGAAAAAAACAGAACTAACCAAGGGTCATTGGCAGTATAAAAGCATGAACACCTGCCAATTGGTAACTTTCGCTTTGGAAAATCACCCTTTACTTAAGGGACTTATCCAGAATAACAGCGCCATTCAAGCTGTGATTTTTATCTAAAGTGGGAAGATATATATAACCTGTTTTCTCTAATCCTGTCTTCTGATTGGTTGCTTAAAGTTAATGTTATTAAAGTTATTCTGAAAGCATCAACGCTCAGCCTGAATAAGCTTCTTTTTTAAAAAAATATATTTTACTGATTTTTTTACAGAGAGGAAGTGAGAGGGATGGAGAGCCAGAAACATCGATGAGAGAGAAACATGGATCAGCTGCCTCCTGCACATCTCCTACTGGGGATGTGCCCGCAACCAAGGTACATGCCCTTGATCTGAATCGAACCTGGGACCTTTCAGTCCACAGGCTGACGCTCTATCCACTGAGCCAAACCGGTCAGGGCCTGAAAAGCTTTTGATGAACTTCCCATGTATAAGCAATAACACTACAACTCCATTTTATGAAATTTTTCCCCTCAGCGTAGACTTTTACCTTCTTGGAGCAAGATTTCTTAAGATTATTTCTACCCCATTTTCTTCCAGTTTTAAATAATACGTTATAGTCATCTTTTAACATGATCAGTAAAGGGTATAATTTGAGAAGCTAGTTCTATTGGCAAATATCTGAAGATCAATAACAAAAAAGGCCACCCCGTCTGGTTTTTGTGGTTCCCTTCATTCTTTCTCTGCCAAAAAGTCTTAATTGGGTTTGCAAGAGGGGAATAGAAATTTTGTTTTCCGGATATAACTGTGAACCTAAGGCAAAATAGATTAAGACGGGGGATAAAAAGAACTTAACAAGAATTTTATTTTCCCCTCTAGACATCTTTTCTAGTAAAACCCACCAATTTTGTAGTTTTTAAAATTTGAGACCTTCTTAATCCATATTTCACAGTTGATTACTCTTACAATTAATAACTGTACACAGAAAAGAGAATTTTTTTAAGTCCATATCTTATCTATGAATCTGTTTCTCACTCTTTGCTGTACTACTTAAGTCCATTTTTTCTTGCAGGATCGTTTACCAAAAGACAACAAGAAAAGCCTGTGAACTGTCAGAAAGAAGAGCATGGCACCCATGTCAGGATGATAAATTTGCTATCATGTTAGTCTTTCAGAAATTTAAAATTCAGTTCAGAAAAATGTACTATGACTGGCCAATATTTTTTAAAATGCCATACATAAACTGTTATAATGGCATTATCACAATATTTGATGATGTTTCACATATATTGTAAAGTCTATATTCTGGCTCTTAAGTAAAATATAAGCATGTTAAAAACATTTAGATACTCATAGTAACAGTGGTGTATGGTGGCTGTTTACCAATAGAAAGAAAAATTCATTAGCCAGTTACTTCCAAAATTAGATTTTTAAGTTGCGTGAAACCATTAATAGCCTTTAAAAGCTTTGATGAGTTTCTACTAATAATAATCTGTTTAATCAGATGATGACAATGATTATGTATTTGAATATAGTATCCATTATCAGCAAATTTGTTCATAGGAAGATTAAATAAGGATAAATGATCAGAATTTGCCACTATATTAATAGGGAAGAGTCAGAGCAAAAAATAAAAATAGTGACCTTAAAGCCTGATGACACATACTATGGTTTACTCTCATAAGACAACTGTTTTAATAATTATATTTTTGTTACTGTGCTTCTACATCTATTGGACTGTTTTTGTCGACATTTGTGTCAATGACACGTAATTAGTAAGTGGTCAATCTTTTTAAAGTCCATCTAGCAGTGGAGTTTACATCTATTTGCACAACTGTCACAGCACTGAACTAAAAATATTTTGCGACAATTTGGAATTCTTGACTCAGAGAGCAAGTATTTCCCATTGCTGTGATATTATATAGTTATAATACAAATATTACCTCCAGTATACATACACTGGTATCATAGTTCCTCTGAGATGTTTATGTATTCTGAAAACTAAATATTAAATACTATTTTTCCATTCAAATATTCATTTAGTGTTTTCTTTAGAAAATGATAATGATTATAGCATTAATATGATTTAGGTTGTTCCCAGTGTTTAGACATGGAAATTATCTTCCTTGTCTCATAAAAACCTAAATATAAAAGAAAATGGAAAATAATTACTAGAGTTTTTATTTTCTTCATATTTGTTTTATCCTTTGTTGTTTATTATCCTTTTAGCATCAACTTCACACATATTTAATTTTTTCATTGCAAAATGGATGAAATAAGCAAGTATGTAAGACTTTTTTTTTCAGATAAAAGTCAAGAGTTACTGCTAGAAAACAGACACGTAGGAGACATTTAACAGGAGTAAGAAATGGGAGTTAGACCATCTGGACTGACAGCACCATAAATAACAAGAGGGAGGGAGTGCTGAAACAAGACAGAACTCCAAGTATCAACTGAAAAATATCCAAGTTAGAGCTACATGGGTAATACCTAGTGAGTGAGTGTGATTTTGGCCTGCTATACAGAAATCAAATCTAATACAGAATAACATAGAGAAAATTAGGAAATACACACCTTTAGAATTGGCAGAATTTAAATCTAATCCCAGCCTCACAATAATTTAGCCATGTGATTTGAACAAATTTTTTAACCCTCTAGACTTCCATTTCCTCATCTTCAAAATGAGAGCAATAACGTTTAGATCAGGATTACTCTGTATACTAAGGTAATACTGTGATTCTCAAAGTTGTTCAGACTGTATGGCAAAGATAAAGTCTGGGTGCTCTTTGAAGAGCACGAGGATTTAAAGATTTCCCAAGATCACTTTAAAGTGTACATTTAAGTACTCCTCAATCTCAGCCTTCAGTTTTACAGATGGGCAAAAAATAAACATGTATTCCGGATTTGGTCACACTGCGTATTGTTTCTTTCTATTGTCAGTAATGACTTCTTTATGTTTTAAAAGGGCTAGGCTGCATTACGGATTTAAACACAGGAGTGTCATTCTTATCCTTTTCTACAGAATTACATAGAGTTTTGTCACACTCTCTTCCCCACTTACAAATCTACCTTGAGGTCCTGGACTCTAGGAAGGAGCATTTAAGAGGTTCTAGCCAAGTACTCATTGCTTATCAGGCTATATCTTGGGCCCCAGTACTGGTAAATAGAGTACCCTGAACCCCCAATCTAGAGCCTGGAGCTTAACTATTTCCTATGATACTATCCTGATGTCACCAGCCTGCCATGATCTCTAATTAAATCCCATGCTTGTTCTGGTGCTGGGTCTCTGCTCGCCTGCAGTGACATCCCTGCTTCCTGCTTGGGCCTCCCAACCAGAGCCACTTGGATGTATCTCTCCTGTTTTACTCTACTTCTGTAGGTTAGCCTGGCCCTGCACTCCCATTCCATTGTTCACTGCCTTCTCACTACCCCTCCCATCCATGTCCCACCACAGCTGAACATCCCATGCCCAGCGCTACTGACACCTGTTGCACCTTGTTTTTGAGTGCCCACTACACAAGGTGTAAGGATAGTAGTCCTTTTAACATGGACTTTAACATCAAGAATGATATGTCTAAAGCCCATGAGGCCCTTCTGAATGTTTTTGTCTTTCAGCCTATTTTCCCCAGTATTCCTGAAAACCCGCTTCACAAAGGTTCCGTTTTCTTTTTTTAACATTTCTTTCTCTAATCAATTTACTAAACGGCATTATTAACTTCATAGTGTTGCTTTCCACCTTGATCTCTAAACAAACATTACTCTTTCCTTCTATAGCCAAAAGTGATTTCAACACCTTAGAATTGAATAACAACCCCTCAAAAGATATCCATGTCCTAATCCTGGGAATATTCTCTTCTGTGGAAAAGAGTGAATATTAACTTTATATGGTAAACAACATGACTAAGTTAAGGATCTTGAGATGGAGAGATTATTCTGAATAATATGGGTGGGCCCTAAATGCAAAGGAAGGTAATTACCACATAGAAGAGGAGATGGCACTGTGGCCTGAAGGCAGAGTTGGAGTGCCAGAGCTGCCAGAGCTGCCAGAGCTGAAGAGGCAAGAACAGATTCTTCCCCTAGCGCCTGCTGAGAGAGAATGACCCTGTGGACACCAGTGAAACTTGACTTTGGACTTCTGGACTTGAGCCATGAGACAATACATTTGTTGTTTTAAATCGCCAAGTTTGTGATAATTTGTTAGCAGCACTAGGAAAGTCATGCAGGAACATACAGGTAACGGTGTGGACTGAATTTCACAATGTGTGGAAACAGATACCCTATCTTAGTTCTTTTTCTCCACTCCTATTTTTAGTTCTTTTTCTCCTTCAGTGTTATTTCCATTCCCACTGCTACTATCAAACCAAGCCATCATTTTTTAAATCTTTATTTGGAGAGTATTACTGATGTCCCCCTTTTTCCCCCCCATTGCCTCCCTCCACCAGTTCCTGCCCTGCCACAGGCCTTCACCACCCTATTGTCTGTGTCCATAGCTAATGGATATGTGCTATATAAGATTTTTGGTTAATTTTTTCCTGCCCCTCTCACCCCCCTTCCCTCTGAGATTCATCCATCTGTTCCATGTTTCCATGCCTCTGGTTCTATTTTATTCATCAGTTTATTTTGTTAATTAGATTCCTTGTTTGTTGGTTTTGATTTTTAGATTCAATTATTGATAGATATGTATTTGTTACATTGTATTCATATTTTTTCTTCTCCCTCCTCCTCCTCCTTTTCCCTCCTCTTCCTCCACCTCCTCTTCTTTTTCCTCTTGCTCTTCTTAAAGAATACCCTTCAGCATTTCATATAATACTGGTTTGGTGGTAATGAACTCCTTTAGCTTCTTCTTGTCTGTGAAGCTCTTTATCTGACCTTCAATTCTAAATGATACCTTTGCTGGGTAAAGTAATCTTGGTTGTAGGTTTTGCTATTCATCACTTTGAATATTTCTTGCCACTCCCTTCTGGCCTGCATAGTTTCTGTTGAGAAATCAGCTGACAATCATATGGATGCTCCCTTATAGATAACTTCTTTTCTCTTGCTGCTTTTAAAATTCTCTCTTTGCCTTTAATCCTTGGCATTTAATTATGATGTGTTTTGGTGTGTTCTTCTTTGGGTTCTTCTTGTTTGAGACTCTCTCTACTTCCTGGACTTGTAGGTCTATTTCTTTCACCAGGTAGGGGAAGTTTTCTGTCGTTATTTCTTCAAATAGGTTTTCAATATCTTTCTTCTCCTTCTGGCACCCCCATAATGTGAATGTTGTATGCTTAAAGTTGTCCTAGAGGCTCCTTACGGTATCTTTATATTTTTTATTCTCTTTTCTTCTTCCTACTCTGGGTGATTTTTGCTTCTTCATATTCTAAATCTTTGATTGTATTCTCAGAGTCCTCTACTGTTGATTTCCTTTATTCTTTATTTCATTAACTGTATCCTTCATTTCTAACTGGACCTTTTTCATGCCTTTGAAATTCTCACTAAGATCCTTGAAAGTTTCACTAAGTCCCTTGAAGCTCTCATTAAAATCATTGAGTAACCTTATAACCATCGTTTTGAACTCTGTGTCCAGTAGTTTGCTTGCTTCCAATTCATTTAGGTCTTTTCTGGAGATTTCTTCTGTTCTTTCATTTGATATGTTTCTTTGTCTCCACATTTTGGCTGCTTCCCTGTGTTTGTTTCTATGCATTAGGTAGAGCTGCTATGTCTCCTGGAATTGGTAGAGTGGCCTTGTGTAGTAGGTGTCCTGTAGGGCCCAGTGTCTCAGCCTCCCCAGTCACATGATCTGTACACTTTAGGTACACTCCTGTGTGGGCTATGTGCACTTTCTTGTTGTAGTTGGGCCTTGATTGCTGTTGGCGTCACTGGCAGAATTGACCCCAAGGCCAAATGGTTGTGAGGACCAGCTGTGACTACAGTGGAAGAGCTGCTGTGCAGGAAACATTCCTATGGAGCAGAACTTACGTCAGTGGGGCTTTGGTGCTCACTGAATCTGCCCCTTGAGTGTGTCAGTTGTAATCTGGTATGGTCTGAAGCTGTACACTGGATGCACTGGCTCTGGGACCACCCAGGCGGTGCAAAGTCAGCCACTGCCTGGGACTACCTGGCAGGAGCTACAGAGCTACCTGCAGATGGCTGCTAGTTGTATTGGGCTTGGAAGTGCCCAGGTGAGGCCAAGCTGTGAAGCAAGGCAGGCTGGTGCTAGTGCTGGGTCTTGGGCCTCTTATTGATAGTTATGGGACACACTGATGCCAGCTGCTGCTTGTTTGAGAGATTTTTAGGAATGTCTGAAGCCTGAGCCAGGACAGGCCATTCATATGGAAAAGCAACTGTAAACAGTTTAGGTGGGGCTTCAAATTGGGTAGGGCGTGGTCTCAGGGAAACTCCAAGGTGGAGCTAACTGTGTGAGTCAGGTGATGGAAATTCAGATATGGCTGCCAGTCAGCTCTTTGACTGGGGAGGTCTCAGCATAGGAACAGTGACTCCTGTGAGCACCCCGGTCTGGGAGAAAGCCACCCCCAATACTTGTTCTGATGCTAGACAATCCAGTTCCTCTTCATATTTCCCTGAATCCCCCATGAGCCATTGCCCCAGCGCTGGAGCCCAGAGGAACAAGTGCGAGTAGGCCTGTGGGCTGGCCCTTTAAGAGTAACACCTGGGTCTCCAGCAGCCTCTGTGTCACTCAGCCACAATCCCTCCTGGCTTTTACAGCCCGAAATTACAGGGACTTCTCTTCCCAGCTCTGGAACCCTGAGTTGGAGGTCTGGTGTGGAGCTGGGACCCCCTTGCTCCTCATGGCAGGCCTCCACAGTGGAGATATCCCTCCCAATTAAAAACACGCCACACATGGGTGTCGGACCAGCTCTTTCTGCACCTCCACCCCTCCTACCATCTCAATGCACTTTCTTCTTTCTCTAGTTGTAGAACTTCCATTCTGCCATCTTTCTGGTGGTTCTGAACTTTAGTTGTCATTTTGATGTGGTTGTAAGGAGGAGGCAAGTACTGGCGTTTTCCTATACCTCCATCTTGGTTCTCAAGCCATCATCATTTCTCACTGGACGACCAGGACAACTTCCTACTGGTCTCCTGCTTACTCTCTCATTCCTCTCCTATGTACATGCTGTCATAAATCATGTCATCCCCTGCTTGAAGCCTTCCAACTATTTCCCATTGCACTCAATATCAAACTCCCCAAACCTCACAGGCTCCCACCCACCTGACAGCCTCATCTCAGTCCGCTTTGCCTGCCAACCACACCTGTAGTCAGATTTTTCCTAGAACAAGCCAAGTCCTTTTTCCTCTTAGGGTTTTGCATACATAGTACATCCTGCACCCTATCTTTCTGAAACACTTGTCACTGTCCAAAATTATCTCATTTATGGTTTGGTTTTGTTTCCTGTCCAGTGACTATGCAGGTTCTGTACACAGTAGAGGTTTCTCAACAGGGAGTGGGGAACATGTTCCTGAGAGACATTTAGCAATGTCTAGAGATGTTTTTTTGGTTGTCACTACTAAGGGGATGCTTTTGGTGGGTAAAGGCCAGGGGTGGTGCTAAACTTACTCTACAATGCACAGAATGTTCCCCCAAAATTATCTGACCCTAAATGTCAATATTGCCAAGGTTGAGATACCCTGGAATAGATATGCTTGTGATACAGGGTACTAGTTGTCCCCCAATATCCATTCTTTCATCTGTGGTAGTAGACACCCTGATATTTTTATACCCAGCTGGCAAGCATAAAGACCATATTTCCCAACTTCATTACAGGCAGAAATAGGAAGGAATGTCACATGCTGGTCCTTGCTTTTGTTTTCTTTATTCTGCTGCCTGAAACACAGACACTGCCATCTTAGATCATGAGATTGAGACCATAAAAGCTAAATCAACAAGATAGAATGATGTATATCTGACACTGCAGA